AAGAGAGAGAGAGAGAGTGGGGGGACTCGAGGGTGGAAGGGTAAACCTTAAACGCTAGAAGGCGAACAACTATGCATTTGTGCGGGAGGGATGGGGGAGAAAAAAAGGAAGGGTGGAAGGAAAAAGACTGGAAAGGAAAGGGGAAGGAGGTTTGAGAAGGAGATTAGTAAGGAAGTGATGGAGAAAGCAAACGGGGAAAGGGGGTGGGGGCAGACGAAAGGATGCCGGATAAATGATTACAAGCAGGTGGAGAAAGAAGAAGATGGAATTTAAAAATCTTTAAAGACTACACGTATTCGATGCGTTTGACTTATTGTGTGGAAATCGACTCACAAGTCTACAGTTTTTATTTACTGTGTCTGATTTTGTTCTCTAGGTGACATCTGCGTTACGGGCATGGCTGGCCGAGTTGGTCAAGCAAGGACCCTGACTGACGTGAAACACGCGCTCTGGAACAAACAGGAGGTCTTCACAACAAAACCCATGAGATTTGACATCGGTGAGTTGCGAAGTTGATCCTCAGTAAAGTATGTAACAAAGAACCATTGTCCAAAAAGGAGTGTGTCGTTGAGATTGAACATGAAAGACAGCAAATCGCTACCTTAGATTTTCAAAGTTCCATCTGCTCAGTACCTCGATTTGAGAAATTTGACATAACAAACTTTGAGTCTCACAGCTTATCAAGTTTTTTCAAATACAATTATTTGAATGTCTTGATGACGACTCATAATAATCCCACGATTTTCATAGGGCAGATAGAGCATATTTTGGTTTCTGATCTCATGGTCTTAGTGAATCAAAACGGCCAGAAACTCTGGGGTAGCGAAATGACAACAAAAGATGTGGATATAATGTTTGGCCTGTTACGGAGACCACGATCTTTGAAGCTTGTTTTCTGCTGTTGTAGGAACACGTGCTATGGAAGGATGCGAGTTCAACGTATTCGAGACTTTATAATCCTCGTACTTTTAGTCTGTAAGATGGTTCTTGTCTACGGTGGCGTCGGTGGCCTAGTGGTTAGGCTCTCGGACTCGCAACCGTAAGGTCGTGGGTTCGAATCCCGTCAAGGGCCCAACGTTGTGTCCTTGGGAAAGGCACTTTACACGAATTTTCCTCACTTCACCCAGGTGGGAATGGGTACCCGGCTATAGACAGCGAAAGATCTTGTCAGTTTGTTAGTGTTTGAGCGCTTAATCGGCTGCTTGCACTGTATGCTTCTCGGGAAGCTGAGAATGTTTCGGAGTGTTCTATGGTCTGCTGGGGTAATAATATAGTGTAAAGCGCATAGAGCCTGCTGCTGAGCGGGGATATGCGCTATACAAATGCTATCTATTATTATTATTATTATTTACTTTTCCCCCCCAAAAAGAGGGAAGTGGGAAATGGCCGTTCGAACATAGGATTATTTTATATACGTTGTCTTCAGAATAGGTTCAACTGTTAGACTAGTCACTCCACTGGCATTGAACTTACAGACTGACGCTGGCAGGGCCGACACACTGGCCATCAGGGTAAAGAGTTTAGCTTCTTAATAGATCAAAGAACCAGTACATGTACTCGAAGGGAACAAAATAATTTGAGTTGTGACGTGATTTGGAAAATGTTTACGCACCTCTTTAGGCTCATCTAAGTGTCTACGGCTAAAACCTGACGAGTAGCTCAATACCACTGGAGTAGACGCATTTCATTTTTGTTTTTCTTAAAAATGCCAGAAAGTGATATCCCTCGGTTTTTCCCTTTAGCCCTTTACATATATTCTGATTTCCTTCCTCAGAAAAGTATGGCACACAAAAGCAGCACGCGTACATAGATGATGCAGAATATTTTGACAACGACTACTTTGGCATTGCCCCTAAGAATGCCGAGTTCCTTGATCCCAACATCCGTTTATCATTGGAGGGTGCCTACGAGGCTGTGGTGGATGCTGGTAAGGACTCTCTAAATCTTGGTTTATGTCTATAGGTCAGATAACAGTAAAGGACTACTAGAGCTGCCCCCCACCCATTCTCCTATTGTTTATCATCATCACTGTCTTTTCTCACCCTGCATCAGGGATACGCTACAAACAAACATGTTCCACCTTTCCATAAAGAGAGAGATAGAGAGAAAGATAGAGATTGTTTGATGCGCATCAGTCATCTGCTCATTTGTCCGATTGTGCTCCCCACCCCTCCACCCCTACAGGTTACTCAATGCAGGAAATACGAGGCACCAACACGGGCGTGTATGTCCCCTGTGTGGCCTATGACGCCAACTGTTACTGGCTCAGCAAAGGACTGGAGGTCATCGGTGAGGCTAAAAAGGGCATGGGCGTGGTCAACAACTTCAGAGCTTCCAGAATATCTTACGCCATGGATCTTCGAGGTAGATCTATGTCTCATCATCAGAGTGCTTTTTTTCATTAATCTAGGCTTAGTAGAGGTATTCACTGCTACTATATAAAAATAAGTTACATTTCTATAGCCGTTCGTTCTCCCGTGGGTTCAGAAGCTTTGTTATTTCGGAGCTAGAGAAAGTGAATTGTTATGACATGCTGTTTGGAAGTTACTAAAAGAACTATTGGGAGGACTACTTCAAATTAATAGAATGCATAACATACATGCGTTAACAGGAGAAGTATAAAAAATAACGTGATATAGGAGAAATGAATTGATATACTTTGGAGCATGCTGTATTAACAGATGTTTAAAATATTCTTTTAATAGAATCTGATTAACTTGATCAAAGCGAACTGACAGACTATATGTTGTAGCTCTTGGGGGACGCTGCGGACGCATTATCTCCGATCTGCAGACGAAAGCAATGTTGCAGCACATTTCAAACCATCATACATTAATCAAAACAACAAGTTTGCATATTTCATAGTATGCAGATGTAGCCTGCTTTTTTTACTTTGAAATAAAGAAAACGGAATTGAATATGACTAATCAAGTTTTGCTTCTATTTTAAAATAAACCCAAAACAGAGCGTCTTCAAGCAAGCAACATGCCCGTTGCCAAAGAGTTAACGGGCTGTGATCAAAGGTGGGGTGGAGATCCAGTCTTGTATTTTCTAACTGTCAAAAACCGGTTTTTTCTCAGGTCCTAGCGTGTGTGTAGACACAGCATGTTCAGGGTACTTGGCTGCACTGGAAACGGCCATGAAGGACATACGCATGGGCGTTGCCGACAGCGCTATCGTGGCCTGTTGCCAGCTTCACTGCAACCCCATGTCATCATTGCTCTTTATAGAGCTTGGCGCTGCTGGTCCTGACGCGAAGTGTTACACCTTCGATGAGAGAGGTCAGTGGTCTCTACATTCAGCTTTAGTCGTAATTACAGTCAAATCTGTGTAAGACGACCTTCCATTGTCGAGAAAAAAAGTAGTCATCTTAGAAAGATTGTCCTCTTGAATGGTGTCATCATCACATAGAAACGCAAGGGAAAAGTGGGAAGGTGTCATTTGAACAGGTGATTGTCTTGGACAGGTGGTTGTTAGAGCAGGTTCGATTGTATCATATCATTAATCTTGCTCTAGTTTTTGTAGGTATCCTTTACTTTCTTGGGGGGGGGGGGGGTTGTCCTTTCCTTGTTGCTGCCGTTTGTTTTTGACCCACAGATAACTGACTTCCAGTGAAATCTAGAAGGAGAATGAAGAAGAAAAATTGACAATTGTAGTCAACGGCCTTCCGTCTTGCCCCTCCCCTCTCTCTCTCTCTCTCTCTCTCTCTCTCTCTCTCTCTCTCTCTGTCTCTCCCTCCCTCCCCCCCCCTCTCTCTCTCTCTCTCTCTCTCTCTCTCTCTCTCTCTCTCTCTCTCTCTGCCCTCTCACTCCCTACCTCCCCCCTCTCTCTCATTTTCTCTTTCTCTTTCTTTCACATGAGTGTTGACTAAAATAATGAATCCATCTCAACCTTGTTCTTACCTCTCATCCAATGTTTGGTTCAGCTGATCATAAAGTGCCCTTTAGTCTTTTGCATTGGTGTTTGTCCGTCTCTCCACAGCTCAGGGATTTGGTCGTGGTGAGGCGGTGGGTGCGGTCCTGCTGCAAAAAGAGGAAGATGCGAGGAGAGTCTACTGCAAACTTGCTCACTGCTTCCAATCATGTGACGGAAACAGCGGCGACTTTGGTGAGCCGATATGCGTACTCAAACTAATTCTTCTGCTTTCGTTAATTATATTGAAGCACAACTACAAAACAGACGGGACGATCAGTACAGACATTGCTCTGCCATCACCACCGTTCTAAACGGCTGCAGTTTGTAGTGTTCTTAACATCTGATTTGCTGCAGTGTGTAATGTGTTTGATATTGATAAGCTGCAATGCGTAGTCTGCATGGTATCTGATTGGCTCTTGTACAGTGTAAGTAATTGTAGTTGTTCCAGATCTTGATTTGCAGACTACTGGTTAGCTCAGTTCATTGCGAACCATTCGTGACTTCTTATTGGCTATTGTGAATTGATTCAGGATGACTGACAGATCCTGTGGATCTTCTGATGCCAAGGTCGAATATGGGCAGACAGTAAGCATCGATCGCAGAGTACTTCGCGCGTAGTTCTAGACCAGTTTTAAAAAAAAATTGCGTTATGCGTTCGCGGCAGGTCTTTATCATTCACTGAAATACCTTTTTTTTAAAAAAGCGATTAAATCCATTCAGTGAAAATGTGCTTGTATTTGACACATAATGTTTATACATATTGATTATTCACGCCGTGGAAAAACGGCTTAAAGCCTTTTGTGTTTAACTGTTACTATGCCCATCTTATATTTCCTCCAGATTTCAACCATCCCTCAGTCATTGGTCAGATGCACACCATCAACGAGTGCTACAGGCAATGCGGGATTGACCCCCAAGTGGTGAGTGACACGGTGATCTGTTCTTGAAGTCAAGTAAACGGTTTACATTGTTTCAGACACGTAAGAGAAAGAGAGAGAGAGAGAGAGAGAGAGAGAGAGAGAGAGAGAGAGAGAGAGAGAGCTCTCACCAAAACAAACGGGCATGAAGTCATGTTCTGTTGATGTTGGTGTTATGGCGACATGTGCCAATGCTGAATGATGGACCTGCACAGAAGAAGCTTCGAGGGAGACAGTCATAAATAATCATGACAATCTTCTTAATTTCTTTCAAGTGGATTTTACGAGTCTCTGTTTGAGAAAAATTTTGGCTTGTACTAGACGCGCAGTGAAGCATCTAAAACTGTTTTACTGTCTGTAATTGATCTCATGTTTTTATTGGATGCTGTGGCTGCACTCCTTTGTCCTCACCTATTCGTTTAAAAAACTAAAGGAGTATCTAGAATGCCACCCTCATTTCGTGAAGTATGTCAAATACCTCCATCATTTAGTGAAGTATGCAGAATGTCACTCTCACTTGGTGAAGTTTGTAGAATGTCACCTCCACTTAGTGAAATATGAAAAATACCACTCTCACTTGGTGAAATATGAAGAATGTCACCTTCACATGTTGAGATATGTAGAACAATACCATCACTTGTTGACATATGCAGTATATCACTCTCACTGGCTTGGTGATATGTGTAGAATCCTACGTTTACTTTGCATTTTTTTACCTTCTCTGCAGTATGGAAAGTCACTCTCATTAAAATGTGCATGTGTTTTATCCCCTGGCTTGCCCATGTAACGGGTCATCTACACTTTATGCCTACCAGCAGTTAGCAGTCAACCTGATACTGACAGATTCGTCTTTGTGTTGTCAGTGTTGCTATTGCCATAATTCATCAGTGCAGAAATGTGGTCCTTACCCTGCAATGTCTACACAGGTGGAGTACGTGGAATGCCACGGAACAGGCACATCTGCCGGAGATACTGTTGAGGCCAACGCGGTCACCAATGTGTTCTGTGGAAAACGCAGGAAATCACCACTTTTGGTGGGATCTATCAAAACAAACGTGGGACATGCCGAGGCAGCAGCTGGTACGTACATACGGACTGGGAGGATGGGGCAATGATACTATTAGAAATCGAGGACGAAAAAGATGGATTACACGCTATGATCTTACTAATTTCATTGTTTTTTTAAAATATACACGTCGCCCCTTTTAGCAGGTTCATTTCTTATAGAGAAAAAGAAGATCGCTGTTTTAGTAGCAGTGTGGCAGTCATGGACCTTACACGAATTTATAACAGCCGGCAATTTTAGAACGACCAATTTCTCCTGGGATAATTGTTTCATAGTATTACGAAAATTAATTACTCTATGATTTGACTATTTCCTGTCTAGTAGGGGAACTTTGTCTATTCATAAATTAATGTAAAAAAAATTACCCACCCACACTCCATTAATACAACACTTTCACAAAAGTGAAAGGATTGTAAAGAAGACAAACATGTATGTTGTATGAAAAACGAATGAGAAAGGCAGTGCACTTTGTAAATACTGTAAAAGCTGGTAGAATGTAGAGCTAACATGCTTATTCAAGTGTTGTATTTTTGTCTCAGTCGCCGTAATTTTTCAAACGTCTTGTGATCTTTATTGGATGATGATGCTATCCTTTTGAGACATGTCAGTACTTTAAGGGCTTTTCTCTTGATTTTTCAGGATTCAATGCACTGGTTAAATGTGTATTTGGCATGGAAGAAGGCGTTATTCCTCCCAATTTGAACTTTGAGAGACCAAACCGAGAAATTCCCGGTCTGCTGGATGGTCGCCTCAAAGTGGTCACTGAAATGACCCCCTGGACTGGACGTGTGTGTGGCATCAGTGGCTTTGGCATTGGAGGGACCAACTCACACGTTATTCTCAAGTAAGTATCTTACCGACTTCAACTGAAAATGTATGCTCAAGCATGTGATCTACCCCCCTCCCCCCACCCCTTTTTTTTCAACTCACGCTGTGCGCTCAATCCAATGACACACCCAACTACCCCAACTCCCACTATGTGCTTCTGAAGGTGACCTTCTCTTTGTGTGCTCAAATAAGTGACCCCTTCCTCCCAACTCTCACAATGTGCTCAATTAAGTGACAAAACCCAACACAACTCTCACAATGTGCTCAACTAAATG